ACAACCGTCCTTTTTGTATTACAAAATGTTATTGGTTACAAAAAGCAAATCTCTCGTGTTGTGACTTGGGAAAAAAATTATTTAATTATTGATAAAATATTTAAACAGAAATAAATTTTATTTATGAAAGATCATTTTGTCTATTTCGCACTTTTTAATTAAAAAAAACATTTATAAATATGATTACCGATTCATATTTATATAGAAAGTTAAGTTGCAAATTTTCGAAGCGGTTTCGTAGAACTATATAGTTCTACGAATTTTTCTTGTCAGTTTAAAAATTTATTTGTATTAACATAAATATATCTTTATTGTACAATCAGTTACGGCTTAATTGTATGCCGACGTCGAAAGCAAATTTCCTGTTGCTGGTACCATCGTGTCCGTTCGAAGGGACGACTCCGTGACGAAAGCGTGCTGCAGCAAATCGACGCTGCCTAAATATTGAGTCACGGGCTATTTTTGTAGCCGCGCCTCGGCCATAAGCCCATGACATCGAGCGGCAGTGGTGCATTTCAAATGTGGTCTTACACGAACGAGATTCTTCCCTACATGTATGTAGAATAATAAACATAAAATATTTGAATGGAAAGTAAATTATTCGTATAGACATCTTGTTTAGGACAAAGTCCTTTGTAGACATGAGATTCTATAAACTCTAATTTTTATATTTGTGCTCTTAACAAATATAAGAATATAAAATTAGAAACCTTTTGTCAAGAAATAATACTTTAAATATCTTGTGTATATTTCAAGCTATTCTCTTTTAATCATTTATATTATATTTATATATTTTATAATTGCAAAAAAGGATTATTTTCGATAAATCTTATTATTATCGCAAATGTTAAATATTAATTTGGCTCAAAGGAATATTATTATTTTTGTTTTTCTCAGCCTTCGAAAAATACATAGACACGTTTGTTTTAAAGTAGCAAGTGATTGGTTTGATTCTGTTCAGTGATTTCTATCAATGATTTTCATCATAAAGCACTTTACGTACAGGAAGATTGCGATTAACCTTGTTCGATTTAGATGGACAGGAAATTCAACTTTACTTATACTCCGAAATGTGTTTACTCCGAAACACATTTAACGCACAAAACATTCCAAAACTAAAACGTAAAAAATATGATATTAATATTTTTTTCAATCTTTCTGTTAAAGTTCGCTCTCTGTTTGTAATTCTTAAAGAATTAAACTATTGGTAGAAGTATCGGATTAAGTAATCTATTTATTTATCGCATTGTCTAAAATTTTATTTATTCTCCAGTTCTAATTTCTCTCTCACTGAAACTGAACTGATTTATGTATATTACAATTATGTAACAATAATTGCTTCTTATATGTGTATTGGGAGTTAACTATGAGAGATCGATCCTGCAATCGCAGCGATAACATCGCGATTACATTGTGATGAATTATGCAATCGATATTCGATATCATGTTGCAAATTACAGCGCTGACGATACCTACGCCCCTTCGCACATCTGCTAACCGACACTATGCAAGGACAAGCTGAAATAGAGACAGCGAATGAAGAGCGGAAATCTCTCGGTGAATCCATGACAAACGGATGCGTTCCGCACCAGCCTAAAAACAGATCGCGAAAAATCTCCGGAAGTAGCATAAACAAATTAATTCGGGTATAATTCGGAATAATGTAAGCTTGAATACAGTCCTAAATACACTACTTTCATTTTCTTCATCCTTTAGTCCACCCTTCGTATCACGAGCTATCAAAATTGAAGCCCTTTAATCTATCATTTGCCCTTTAATCTAACATTTCAAACGCAATTTCAAAGAATTTTCACCGACGTGACTAGTATCTCTCTTACTCGGATTAACATTTTCTCTATTTTTTTGTTAAAATTTGCATTATTTTTTCTTGTAAAAAGAACAAAAGTCTTTATTAATGTTAATGTCTGTTAATGTATGTATAAGAAAAAGTACCATTTTTCAGCAAATTAATCGCTGATCATAAAATGATCTATCTCGTCGTGATCTCCGATGGCTTAAATGAGCAACTCGCTCAGGAAATTTCATCTGCTGTATTTTGTGTCAGCGCCCACTTGAGATTACGCATCTACTATTTTAGGTAACGCAGTATCATCATCGCGAACACGCCACGAAGATCGGTGACAAGCATTCCAAGAAGTTTCAGTTATCTGGTGAGAGAAAGAATGAAATTTTTAACCGTGATGGCTTTTACATGCGCTAATGAAATAAGCAGAAACAAAATGGCAAAAAATAAAAAAAAAATAGTTACGAATGGTATGTGCTCGAAGAATAGGAATCTCAAAAAATATTATCTTGAAGTCGTCTAAGAA